AGACCCGAGTCACCTTCGTTTACTCCAATTGGAAGCAGTCGTCCTAGCTTTCTCAATCGGGAAGGATTAGCGCGTTGACCACATAAAAAGAGACCAGACATGACGGATTGCTTACATCCCGGTTATGTCTGAAGATACGGTCTCACTTCTCTCCATCTTCACTTCTTTCGTCCCCGAAGGATTCTGGATCGTCTTCGTTGTGCCGGGGCTTGCTGCGACCGTCTACATCTTACAATTGGCTTTGCCGACGCGGATGATGAGATCCTTGGAAAAATCTCTTTACGACGTCGGAACATTCTACAACAATACATTCGAAATTCCTCGTTTCAGCAGAGCCGTTGAAGACTCGAAGGAGGATATGATGTTAGCCCAGCGGCTGGTGGCGTACGTGATATTCCTCCCAATAACCCCGCAGCTCAACTTCCACCCAGGCTTGAGGATAAGGCTGACCAGCTGCGAATACAAACTCTCTTCCACGGAACGTTTTTTGTACAGTGGGGAGAGCTTTGGGGTTTATTTACCGGTCATTCCTTTGCTATTTGGCGCTGCACTCGAAAGGTCCAATGTCTCGGCAACGAGATGAAAGTAGGTTCAGTGCGTATCGAAGTACTTTCAAGGTTTGATAACTTCATTTCCACAGATCATGAGCATGAAGCAGCAGGAGAAACTTCATGACATCAACACCGAGCTAGCGGTCGAACTCTCCCCAGCCTGGCAGTTGGCGATACGTCATAGGTATTATGGCCGAAGCCCGAACTACCCAGCAGGGCCATTCAAAGGTTACACATCCGTATAAATGTTTCTGAACGAGATTCCAGAATTCATCCACTGCACTGCTACGAGAATAACAGTAATCAAGAAGACGCGTTCCGCCATTCTGCAACTCTGCCCAAAATCCATAATAGCGCCCCGCCGCTGAGAACAATTTTCTGCGATCGAACTTAACAACCTTGCGGTACATTGAAGACCTAACGACCATAAAAAATTCGGCAAGTTTACCGTTGAGCAGGCCAATACTCTAATTCTGGCAACCAATGACCGACTTGCACGGCAGGAAGAAATACGCACAAGATACCAGACAGCTTGAACCAAGACGTCATTTGGCTCAGTGCGCTCACTGATTGGCAAATTCATCGCTCATCGCGCGGGGTATATAAATTTCTAATCGTCAAATATATGTACTCAAAAACTCAGCGTAAGTAGTATGAGATTCTACGGTAGCATGAAAACGCGAGCACGTGATCCGTCGCGTCTTGAAGACGACCATTCAAGAACAAAGAACGCGAAGCACCAAGAATCACAGGCTACAAGAAAAATTGGTCAGCAAATGCGACCGTGGAGAAAAACGAATGAATAGTTACGCAGTGACGCCAACGGTTTCAATGGGAAGTCCGAGCATAGTGAGGCCGGTGAATATGAAGATACCTGCGCTGGCGAAGACGGGGCTACAGAAAAAAATCAAACAACCGCAACCCGGTGAAGAGGAAAGATCTTGCCCGTTGGGAGTCTTTCCCGCGTTGCTGTAGACTGCGATGACTTTGAATGACAGTTAGACTGGGGCTTATTCGTCTTTGAATCGCACTGACTAGGAGCGAAGAGACCGGTAACACGACTCGCGGCCGCAGCGAAGGCATCGCCTGTCCCACGACGAGGAGTCGGGAAGACTTCAGGTGCATATCCGTACAGAACCTATTGAAACCAGTATTCAACTCGAAGCCTGTGGTTGTATCGGAACAAAGAAATACCCCGTAGAAGGCGTTCTCCCAGAAGCTCGCAATCGAAACCAAGGCGTTGACCTGCACCGACGTCTTCGCTTGGCTAAAATGTATCCGATGAGCGAAGCACCTCAATCAGACGAATGCACACACGTTAAAGCAAAGAGGAAGACTCCAGACATGATAGTGAAGAAACTGAAAACGAAGCACATTTAGCAAGCCGACTGGGCACAGATTGGAGACAGGCCAACTGACGCCATGGAGAATTTCCGACCGGTGCGAGACCACTGTACCATGACTGCGGCGAGAATGGATCCACCGACACCACACACGGCTTGGTAGGTGTACGCGGCTGAGTAAGCAGAATAAGATATAGGAACTGTAGTAGAAGGAGGATGCCTCACAATAGGTCGCGTCGATCCCAGTTGCGCCGGTATCCTTTTCACGACTCGACAGATAGCTCCCGCTTAACGTAGACATCATTAGCGAAACATCTTCTTGTTGAAACCAAGAACGTACAGGAAAGCGTTGAAGAGAGGGTATGCGAGCCCAAGAGCACCATCTGAGGGGATGTCGTCCGTATGTCAACTCAAAAGGAGCGGAAGTGGCTCACAAATGAATATGATGAGGCTGGATGAATAAGCCAAACGCGGAGTGCAGAACAGCCCCTTGATATTCTCGCCGCTGATATCGTCACTAGAAGGCGAGTTGAGCATGAATATCAACGCCAACGTACGGCACTCACAAGCTGTTGCGGATGAGACCCCAGGTCGTGAAATGAACCTTGGAAACATCGGGGCTGTTGGGATCAAGGTACGGAGCGGCAGCGTCATGGAGGTCTTGAATCGTGAGTTTCGAAGTGGTCTTATTCTTTTTGGCAATGCGATGGATGACTTCGACGGCATCCTGGTCCCGTCCAATACCTGTAGGAAATAATAGAAGGATTGTGCATGTGCTCCCTGAAAACGATACTCACTGACGAGGAATTTGGGAGACTCGTCCATGGGAAAGATGAAAATTCGTAGGACGCCCAGGAATACCATCATTGCGCCCAAAGTGTAGTAAGAGTCTCAAAAACAAATACCATTGGCTGTGCGTCCAAGAAAGGATCGACAAAGAGGAAACCCACAACGCCATCCGTTATTATTCGTATTGTCGCATTGATATAAGCTCCCGTCGGGAAGGACTTGCTTACCGACCAGAGTCGTGTCGCAGGAATACCTAGGTTAATTAGTTAATGCACGCGTTGAGATACCTAACATCAACGAACTTTGCCAAGAATACCCAGGAAATTAGTGACCCGACTACCTGACCAACCGCCCACCAAAGGGAGAGCAGCGTGAGGAGGTACTGATCCTTTCCGGGAAGAAACTCCAGGAACAATGCGCCATCTACGGGAAGGTTGCCTACACCCGAATTGAGACTGCAAAAAACGACACGGTCGTAAAAGTTGTACCTCCGACACCAAACCCTAACACTAATTAATGGAATCTTTTGATGATTAGATCCAACATACCGATGCATGCAAGCATGGCTGCAATAAATCACCCTATTCAGTCATGCTTGGAAACCAAATTTGAACCAGTACACACACCGCACAAGGTGATGAAATTTGGGGAAGCTCCGGCACTGGTGAAACATGAACTCGGAATGAACGAGGCGCTAAGCAAACTATACGCACGCAACTCCGAAAATTCCAGAGAGGAACAGAGTCGCATTCCACGCAGTTCGTCTACCGATTACGTCGCATGTCATGCCCCAGAAGGTCGCCTTTGAATGTGTGAGTAAATGATGCGCCAGAGAAGAGATAAGCATCTACTCCAGCGATCAATCCACAATATAAACCGAAGGTCGCCATGCGGATGTTACTTGAATAGTCGGGAAAGTTGTGCTGGGCAGTTGTTTGTGAATTGCGGAGTGAAGTAATTTATGATAGAAGGAATGTACCTGGTTGGCAATGGCAGGCATCAAAATGGCTATGGCCTGGAGCCATATATCTCGAGACGTGTCAATACATGATGTTTAAGAAGAATGGAAGAGATTCCTCACTATCTGCGAACCAACTGGTTTGGTTGAAAAAAAGGACATCACAATCTACCCGATAAAACACGAAAATGTACCAACCCAAACCCTGAGGAATAACATTCGGACGTTAGAATAGATAAGGAATGAAAGATAACGGCATACCAGCGCTGAAAAACAACTCCCACTATGTGCACCCGTCAGTCACAAGATCGTAATAGCAGCAAAGCGCCACGTTCGCCACGTGGGTTCAGATCGACGATGGCACGACCCCATCTACCGACGCTCCGCAACCTAAACTGGACCCACCTGGTATCTAGTCAAAGATCAGTCGCAAACACAGAAAGTAAAGGGTGTCGGCCACATACCGACCCAACCCGCACTCTGCTATAGCCTCGTTAAGAACCTTGACTCTAAGAAACGTCAAGATTTCCGTTTTCCACTATCACAAAACTTACTTGGCCAGAAAAATTGGCTTGATTCCCTCTCGGTGGGCTCGTTCCAACAGCACTTGATCACTACGATCATCGCGGGTCTTTTCATCGACGGCGCCTTCGTGAACCTTTTCATGGTCGTGGTCGCTCATCGTGGTTTGGAAGAAAGAGCGATAGACGGCCTTCTTGGAAGCGATAGCCGCCTTTTCACCCAATCCCCATCAATTTCTAAAAGTCACCATCGGCCCGACGCAAACGACGCACGTTGCCAAGATTTCGAACGCTGCATAGAAGCATATGATAACTCAAGCCTGTATGCGCTGGAACGCTCCTTTGGTTTTCTTCACGTCTGGGAGCCTCTGGAACGCGTCTCATTGATATATGGTGGATGATACAGCCTTCCGACTTTACTTCATCCCGAGCTCCGCTCCCGCATTGGACCCAGAGGGTATAGATTTGGAGTGTCTCGTGCCACATTTCTCGGTGTTGTTGGGGTTTTTGGAGCTGGGGCCGAGGACATAGGCCGCCGACCCATCATTTGGGAAGAAGAAACGAACATGATCAGTTCTGAACTTCAAAAAATCAGCCGATGAAGAGTGATGCTGATCTCTCCATCTTACGGGAAACAATTGACTGACGGGATATCTGTACGTTGAACTCTTGGCAGAAGCAGATGTTGAGCAGATGGAGAATTTCCGTGGGTGGTTTTTTTCCTGCCACGAATTCAGCCCATTGGCAAATCATGGAGATGTCCGTCCGCTTATTCTAGAGCAAATAGCGAATTTATCTCCCGAAATATCTCACTGTATGGCAAAACCCTGTCCACCATGGGCGTATGGTGTAGTGGTATCACACATGCTTTGCAGATTCCAGTCATCTATGCTGTAATTCAGCCTTGTATGCGGTCCAGGGTTCAATCCCCTGTGCGTCCAACCGTTTTGCTTTTTTCGAAGTAACGCTGACCCGTTTATCGGTGTACATTGCGCCCTCGAAACTCCAACGCCTTGTGGTTCCTGCAATTATTCTCTCGCTGTACCCGCCCCAGTTCAAGTATGTAAAGCTCTTTTGCACCTGCTTTTGCAAAAAACCGAGTTCAACTTTTGAACTGTTACTCCCATAAATTTTGCAATGCCTCCCGTCATGCTGATGTGCTCCTTCACGCCCCGCATCAGAGAATGGAGACGACTTTGTAATGGGAAAGAACTTGCAATAGAGAGTGCCCGCACCATACTTCTGCCAAAAATTTGTGTCTCCTTTGCCAACAGAATCTGCGAACAGACAGGCGATCCTTGGTACACTCTTCAAAATTTATTCCAGATCCGCTTCGTTACCTCCTCGCGGTGGCGAAAACAGGACCAGCGGTGGCCCACGTAGTTTCCGTTAAAATTGCTTGATGTTCAAATTATATTGCTTGAATTACTTGGACATAGAGCTAATAACTGTTTGTTTTAATCTCCTGCAAGTGTGTACTATTCTTCACATAGAGATGTAACTGTTGGGCTCAGTTGGACTTGCTCAAAGGCGAGTCAGGCTCCGGCAGTGGTTGAAGTCGGGCTCCATCAATACGTGAGCTGGGTTCGGCCAGTGGTTGGTTTTTCGGGTTCCGGTCACGGTTGAAACTCGGTCAGTGGTTTCGATGGTGGGGTCGGTCAATGAGTGATTTGGGGCGGTTCTATTTCACCCAAATTCCCTTTTCCCGAATCGAAAGCGCATTCGAGCTACATAGCCCCGTGAAGATTGGCCATGCGAAGAAGTTGAGCCTTATAATAGTCTACAAGTCATGTCAATTGAGAGCAAATTCAAGTCTTGTACATGCATCTTGCAGAAACTCCTCAACCTATGCCCAGCTTGGTCGATGTTTTCGAAAACTCTACGTCTTCGTCAGGGTTGGATGCACCATGTATAACTTCAGCTTGCCTGTAGCCTTATTACATTTCGGGGAGGAGTTTAGACTACGAGAAATATCCCGGTCCAATCCCATCTCCCTCCTCAATCCAGCAACGCGAACCTGAAAGCTTGCGAATTATAATGAATGCGTAGTAAGGATAAGCGCCACAAACTCGGCTCAATTTCTCTGCGCCGCTTCTTAGCGACGAATGCCTCTGCGCGAGCCCAAAGATCCATCCCCCCCTTTGTTCCGGCGAGCCAGTCGTCCACATCAGGATAGTCCGAGGTTCGCATGTATATAAAGCGCTCGTCTTCAACAGACAAGAGCCTGGCGCGCGATCTTTCTAGGTATTCCTACAAATGAGAATTTCTAGCATTTTGCACGATCCGAGTACATCCGCGACTGCCATAGATCAACCATCGAATGCCAAATGCGTGGGCGCGGGGAGCTTAACGAAGAAAGGCAGCCAATCCTCGTTAAAGAGCACCGTAGTCGCATAATCGAGCACCTCGAGATGTGTGACGCAAGTGAACATTGGCCAGACATCGCTCGGGTCCGAGTAGATGAAGGATGACAAAAGGAGGGATAAGCGTCGCGGCCTCAGAGCCGCAAAGCTGAAGGGTACGGATGGCGTCGACATTACCATCACGAGGCTTCGGATTCCCGTGCAGGTAGAGAAAACTGCTGGTATATTGAGATATACATTGTCAAATTCTGGGTGAAAGAATAAATGTCGGTCGTGGTCGCGGAAGAAGAAAGCAGGCTTGGTATTTGACTGGATGGCCCGCAGGAGGTCTGGAATGAACAAGAGAACTGCTGTCGTTGAGGAGTAACAGTCCTGTATTTGAATCCTTCGATCCTAGACCCAAAGTGAGATTATCTGCCAAAATACAGTCAGCTCGCTCAGCACTGGTAAACGCGCTGTGAAACGAGGAGAAGGCTAGGTATTGTTTCTGGATACAACTCCGCCGCCGTTTCAAACATTTATCGCTCCAATTCAGGAGGACAGAAGGGAGACCAAGACTCCATGGCTAGATCGATGCGATGGTCAAGAATAAAGCAAATTGCTGGCCGGAACATCCCGAGTTAAGTGATATCATATACAAAGGAGCTTGTATTAAATATTAACGGATAGCAAGGTTGGTATAGCAGGAATACAATGGGCAATAAATTAAATCGTCTACTGTAGCATCAACTTGGACGAGGAGTTGGCGGGACATCCTCTCCCTCAAAAGCGAGGGATGTATGGTCTGCGACTGCAGTCTCCTTGCCGCCGCCTGAAGTCGTGGCAGGCGGCTCAACGGGAATCTCACCAGGACTATCATCCACTGGCTTCATCGCGTCCGCTTCATGCCCGCTGTCAAACGTCCGCTCTATGTCAGGCACGTCGGCGAGCCATTCATGCATGACCAGCTCGCCGGCGCTCATACGCCCATCCGGATCCAGCTGGAGCATAGGTAGCAGGAAATCCGAGATGGCCGATGCGTCCGGCTGCGGGAAGAGGTACTTGTCGTGGAGGACCGACGACAGCGGCCACGGTCGCAGGTTCTGGATATGCAGGAGTTTGCCTATACGAATGAGACGAGCCTCGTGGTACAGAAGAGGTGACGGCTTACCTCTAGTGTCGAAAAACTCTCCGGTCCATCGCCCCGACTTTAGTATATGGTCTGGAAGCTCCCCAAGCAGCTCAATTATCTGGGCCATGTGGTCATCGTCCTTTGTGTACTTTGGCTTGCCGCCGGCGCCTTTCGGCGCAGGAGCTGGGTCGAAGAGGTAATCCCCCCCGGTCAACAGCTCGAACAACTACAATCGGAACATGAGCAACTTGTTTTAGGCGGGAAAAATGTAGCGACGCACCAGACAGGCGATACTCCATATATCAGCACTAGTTCCCCATGTCGTAGAGCCGATAATGACTTCCGGGCAACGGTATTGTCGCGTTTGTATATCGTTGGTGAAGTGGTGGTTCGTCCATGTCGCTGAGGAGGATATCAGCAAGGACGGGGGAATTGTTCGAGGGGAACTCACCATTCCCCAGATCCGCAATCTTCACCGTGATCATTTCGTAGTCGAGCTCCGTCACCTCTTCCACCCATGCTTCCTCACCTTCCACTTTCTCGCCGTGGCTGCTCAAATCAAGCGTCAGGGGATGGGGCGGTGGATCTGGAACGGGCATCGGGGTCATAGCCGCAGGGGCGGATGTGGACATGGCCGCAGGAGCGGATTTGGACACGGAGAGCGCAGACATGCCCAGATCGTCATCCCCCAGACTTCTCTCCTTCCCCTTGCCCGTCACAGAGTCTTCTGGTGAGATTTTGAGCATGCCAAGCCCCCATTTATCTCCCGGCAACTTTGATCGCCCACCACTGCTGCTGCGCAACGAGGAGAGGCTGACGAAACTCCCACTCGGGCTGGTGCTGGGAAGTGGCTGACTGCCCGTTATATTGACGTTGGTGTTAATGTGGTGGTGTCTGGGCCCTGGGGTCAAATTGCCCCCGCGGCCGGTGGATGCAGGGACGCCGGTGAGTTTCTGCAACGTGGGGGGATGTTGCGGCATTTGGTGAGGAGCGGGAGGTGAGGTCGAGGCAGGCAACGCCGACAACTGTAAGGCTAACTCGGCCTGAATCACCGACTCGACGTCCGGGATGTAGATGAGGACGTTCTCTGGCTTGAGATCTATCACGCCCGAGGTAAGGCGGAGTTAAGGACATGTGTCGAAATATCGCACCAGTGTGAATAACGGCGCAATATCGATGCATGTAGTCGAGACCTTGGAGAACTTGTTTGGCGATCTGCTTTACCAGCGGGATAGGGACGCCTTTATTCTACGGTGTGAGGCATCGTATCAGTACTCCGTAGGAACGCTTTGAGACGTACCTGATGCCTCTTGATCAAGCCCAAGAGATTCTCGCCCAACACCTCGAACACCATGCATACATGCGTTCCATTGGGCCCCTTGTGTCTGAAGTGGTCGAGGAAAGAGATAACGTGGGATTTCCCTGGATGCGAGCTCGACGTGTTGGGGTCGGAAGACGTCACTAGGCGCTGGAGAAGCTTTATCTCGTCCACAGCCGTCTCCGTGTAGCGAGGGGCGGATTTAACGATTTTGAGCGCAACATGTCTCTGGAACCTGCGCATATAAGTTGACCCGTTGACGCGCAACACCAGGGCAAGGAACGCACTTTTCGTCGCGTGCCAGCCAGACAGTCGAGAAATGCCCCCATCCCAGTTTCCGGACAACGACATATCGGTTGTCAGAAAAGGAGTCCCCTATGGAGACAGGGTGGTAGCCGCCGAGTTTGTACTCCTGCCAGTCCTCCTCGTCTTCAGCCATAGGGGCAGCGAGGCAGAGAGCGTGTTGTTATCTTCCAATACATATTCCGTTCCTTATCGCTTCCCCGCTTATGCAGCCGGTTCAGCCATCAACCAAGGGTGATCCAATTTGCCCTTTCCCGTGAAAGATGGTGGGCCATACAGATCGGGAGATATTCGGCGCATTGCGAGAAAACACAGGGATGAGCGTAGAGGTCAAAGCGCATTTTAGGTCTGTTTTTTAGAATTCGGCAGGTTCGGCATCAACTTCCAGGAATTGAGCAAGCAAATGATGGGTGATGGCTTCCTTCAAACTCACACGCCAAGTTCGAAGCCTCGGACTAGGGTGGATCATCAGAACCGTCAGAGATCGGGTCAGTAGAGAGTGCCTGGAAAAATATTGAGTGAAGGTCAGTCAGTTTTTAAAAGATGCAGGGCGTCTTCCCCGCCTCATGCATTCAACGAGACTCGAGTTAAGCATGCTGTACCTTCTTGAGTCCGTGGATAGTGCAGTGCAAAAATAACGGGTGAATCTCTTGGTTGTATCTGTTTTAACGCGCCGACCAGCGACATGGCCTAACACCAGGCTGAAATTCATCCTGCGTCGTCCTACAGTAACGATGAGTATTTGAAAGAGATGAAGTGCAGAGTTTACTAACAGTAGAGAGCCTTTGGATTCGCGCCACTTCAACTCGACTCTGGCAAACGTCCAAGCAGAAAGCAGCCTGAGGC